AAGTATTATTGATTCTAAAGTTTTATATTAGTAATATTGCTTTACGGGAATCTGACCTTTGCATATTCAAATGTTCAGTACTAGAATTATGGATAATTAACTAATCAGTATAAACATCAGAGATACTCATATATAAGAAGATGGATAATTTACAAGTGACCCAATTCCTCTGAAGCTGATATAAGATCGTTAGAATGTGGCCTTCTATGACTGTTGTGGCGCTGGACCTGCTCACTGAGTGCGGGGCATCCCATCACCAAGCCCACTCCCCCGCTCTCCAAATCAAATCATTGGCTTACATCAAGGCAGGCTGATATCTAATGGACTTACACAGTTTGGAAGTTCTATGAAGAAAACAATGTGGAGACATTTTTAGAAATCACTTCTGAGGCATGGGGGAAGATGTTAAGTGTGTTCACTTAAGCAAAAATTATGGTGCACCCATAAATAAATTATACGAAAGTTATTAATATCAGATAAGGGAATTAGCATGTTTGGGTTGTCACAACATGGAAGTAAGGTGCCAGAAGTCAGAAATAGAAGACTTTCTGCAAAACTATGAAAAACTTTAGACACTTAATGAATTATTAATTAATCAATTAAAATATTTATTCAATGCATCGAAGACTTATTAAGCATTTAGTATGAATAAATAGCATTGTGTGAATTACTGTGGAAGAGGAAAGAAATGACACAGGTCTCTCAGGTCCTTCTTCCCGTCTTCTCCTTGCTGACACCACTGACCATCATGCCCATTGACCCAGATCTGTCCTTGACTCAGTTTAGAAGTCCCAGTTTCAAACAGGCTCAGACTCTTGTTAAGTAGTACTGTTCCTGTCTGCCTAAACTTGAAATGATGCTGTTGGCTCAGAGACTAGTGTCATAGTCGTAGCTGCTGGGATCTTCTATGGCTCCCAAGTTCCGTTGCCCCTAAGTACTCCCAGCACCAACAGGGCCCAGCCTACCTGAAGCTGCCTCCCATAGAACCATATCTTCCCCATTTGTAGACGTAATAGGCAGGAATAGGTATCGCACAGGATCTTCTCTTAGTTCTAATCTGTTGCTGTTAACTCATTCAGATGTTCTATACATTTTAACGAACACCTCCTGTGTGCTGGGCATCTGTGAAGTTCTTGGAAACGCAAAGAGGAAGGAAGACTTGCGCTGAATGAGACGCCCCAGGGATGTCTTCTTGCAGTTAGGATTGAGGTTATGGTATCTGTCTCACCCATGAGCTCTCTGCTACCAAGACACTGTCATCTTATGGAAATAGTTGTAATTGTTTTGAATAAAGTTT